ATAACATATACATAATATATATTATATAACACACATATATAATATATATAATATATAATGATATATCAATCTATCTATCTCAATCACATTTTCTTTATCCATTCATCTGTTGATGGCCAGGCCATAGGCCACTTCCTATTTATCTTTTATGAGTTGTGCTTCTATAAACATGTACGTGCATCACAGTAATGTGATGAGTTAATAACTCTTACAGGAGAATACATAGAAGAAGTATAACTTGGTCAAATGGAATTTCTATTTTTTGTTTTTTGAGGACTCTTCATACTGATTTACATAGTTTCACTAGTTTATATTTCTACCAAAAATGTAGAAGAGTTCCATTTTCCCCACAATCTCGCTAGCATTTGTTGTTTTTTAAGTTCTTTTTTAAAAAATGATTTAATTCATTGTGGGGAGTAGGTACATGTACCTAAAAATATCTTAATTCTTTTTAACCTTCCCCACCTCTAGATCCTGTTCCATTTGCCAAAGATCTATCTCCTTGCTTCCTATCATCTGTCTTTTCTTTTATTCTTTAAATTATGTATACTTTGGGTTTCTCATGTAAGAGAGGCCGTGTGATAGTTAAGCTTGTGTGTTTGATGTATTTGGCTTGTAATTATGGTCTCAAAGTGTATGTTGGGTGTGGTGGCACATACCTGTAATCATAGCACTTGGGAAGCTGAGGCAGGAGGGTCTCAAGTTCAGGACCAGCTGGGCCTACATAGTGAGATTCTGTTTCAGAACACAAAACAAAACAATACAAAATTTAAGATCTTGTGGATAGCTTTTCTTTCTAAGATAGAATTTCAGTGTTGTTTTGATTTGCATTTCTTTAATGGCCTAAGATGTTCAGTATTTTTTCATGCCTTATTAACCATTTGTACTTTTCTTTTGAATTAGTCATCTTATTCATTTTAATGACCCAGTTTTTGTTTGGGTCTTTTATTTTTGGAGGGTCTAATTATTTGAATTCTTCATAGATTCTAAATGTTAGCCTTCTATCCAAGGAATAGGTGGCAAAGTTTTTCCAATTCTGTAGATTGTTTTTCACTCTGTTGGTTGTTTCCCTTGCTGTGCAGAAGGTTTTTAATTTGATATAATCTCATTTGTTGATGCTTTGATGTCATTTCTTGTGCAATTGAGGTTATTTTCTCAAAGTCCTTGGTTTTACTCATGTCTTCAAGAGTTTGACCCATTTTATTTCCTGGCAGATTCAGTGTTTCCGTTTTAGTAGATTTCTGTTTCATAATCAAGGTCTTTAATCCATTTTGATTTGATTTTAGTACAGGGTGAGAGATATGAGTCTCGACTCATTTTTTCCTGCATGTGCATAACTTACTTTTCCCAGCATCATTTGGTAAATAGGGTATCTTTTGTCCATGGTATATTTTTGGCCCCTTGAAGATCACATGGCTGAATGTGCCTTGGGTTGTTTTTGCATCCTCCATTGTGTTTCATTGATCTATATGTCTGTTTTATGCTAGTACTGTGCTTTTTTTTTTTTTTTTTTTGAATCACTGTAGCTTTAGAATCTGAGATTGTGATGCCTCCTGCTTTGCTCTTGTTGCTTAGGATTGTTTTGGCTATTATTGGTTCCATATAGATTTTAGGACTTTTTTTTCCCCTGGTTTTGTGAGGAAAGCTGTTGTTATTTGATTGGGGTTGCATTATCAGTTTTGAAAGTGTGGCCATTTTATCTATCCAGGAACAGGGAATATCTTTCCATTTTCTGATCTCTTTTTTTCAGAGTTCTTTTTTTTTTTTTTTTTAGATAGAGGTCTTTTACTTTCTTTGTTAACTTAATTCCTAAGTAATTTTTCTTGAAGCTATTGTGAGTGGTATTGTTTACCTGATTTCTTTCTTGGTGGGTTCATTATTGGTGTACAGAAACACTATTGATTTTTGTGTGTTGATTTTATATCCTGGTACCTTGCTGAATTTGTTTTAGTTGTAGGAGTCTTTTGGTGAAATTTTTTGAGTCATCTATGCAAAGATCATATCATCTGTGAATAAGGATAGTTGATTTCTTCCTTTTCTATACATACTCCATTTATTTCTTTCTTTTGACTGATTGCTCTTGCTAGAGTTTTGAGTACTGTATGTGTATCCTATTGTTGGATGAAATGGTCTGTGTAGAAATTTGTTAAGTTCATTTGTTCAGTAGTGTGTTTAATTCTAATTTTTTTGGTTGATTATTTTTTGTCATGTTGACCTGTATATGTGTGATAGTCAGGTATTGAAGCTCCCTTGATTTGACTGTATTGATGTCCATACTTTTATGTCCAGTAGTTTCTGTTTTATGAAATTGGATGTATTGACATCTGGTGTATAGATATTTACAATTGTTATCTCTTTCTATTGAATTGTTTTCCTTGCTAGTATGTACCTTTGTCTCTTCTGATCAGGTTTCACTTGAAGTCTGCTGTGTCTGAAAAATAAGATAGTTATTCCTGCTTACATTCATGCTGTAGTTGCAGAGAGTATCATTTTCCAACTTTTCACTTTTAGTCTGTGTATTTCTTTGTGGATGAGGTGTGCCTCTTTCAGGCAACATATGGTTGGGTTTTGTTTTTTTGATCTAACCTGCCAGTTTGTGTCTCTTTCATTGCAGAGTTAAGACCATTAACATTGAGAGTTATTACTATAATGTATTTACTGAATCCTGTTATTACATTATTTTTCCAGTACTTACTACTTTATTTTCTCCCTTTTGTTTACTGCTCTCCCCATTAGGTATATACTTTTCTTTGGGCTCTTTCCTGCTGGTGGTCTTCCTAGCTCTGTCTTGGTTGCCTTTAAATATTTTCCACAACTCTGATTTAGTGCTCATGAATTTCTTTAGCATTTCTTTGTCATGGAAAGTCTTTATTTCTTCATCAAATTTGAAGACTAATTTTGTTGGATATAGATGTCTGGGTTGACAGTTACTTTCTTTTAGGCCTTGAAAAACTTTACTGCTAGCCTTTTTGACCCTTAAGGTTTATGCTGAGAAATCTCCAGTTATTCTGATAGTCTTGCCTTGATATTACATGCTGTTTTTCTCTAACAGGTTTTAGTACTCTTTCTTGGTGTTGAATTTCTGGAATTTTGATTATGATTTGTCATGGAGAGCTTCTTTTTTTGGTTGTGGCTATTTGAAGTCCTATGTGCCTGTTGCACTTGAATTATGAATTCTTTCCCTGAAATTTTCTGCTATTATTTCACTGAATAAATTTTCATACCTTTTGAGTTATCTTCTAATTTTTCCTTTATTCCTATAATTCTTATGTTTTTTTGTGTTTTTTTGAGTTGTCTCGTAGCTGTTGGATCCAGCTTCCAGGGTGTCATGTTTTTAGGGTATTACTGATTACATGATCTACAGAATAAACCTTGTCTTAAAGTGCTGACACTGTCTTCACATTGATCAAACCTGCTACCCATGGCTTCTGTTGAATTTTTCATGTCCCACACTTCTACTTGATTTCTTCCTGTAATTTCTAATTCTTTACCAAAATGATTATTCATATCTTGTACTGTTTTAACTCAACCAGCTTATTGTTTGTTTCTTTTTTAAGCTCTCTGAACATTTTATTAATTAAATCCTTAATTGTTGTTTGTTTAAATTTTCTTTAAGCTCACTGAATATTTTATGAATTTGCTTATGGTTTTTTAAATTTTTTGATATCTACAACCATTTGATTTTTGACCATTTGATTTTTTAGTTCTTTGCCTGTAACTTACTTTAGTTCCTATGAGATCAGCTTTTGGGGACTTAGAGTTTTTTAGAGGCATCTTGTTGCATTGCTTTCTCATGCTTTGCCATGCTTTCTATAGCTTTTGTGCTGAGGGTTGAAGATATGTAGGGTAGAAAAGCCACTGTAGTTTACATTTAAGATCTTCATTAAGTCATTTTAAATTTCATGGTAGAGCGATATGCTGCAGTTACCTGGATTGATGGGGCATAATGTCAAGTGGCCTAGGGAATCAGGGAAGTCCAGGAGGTGTTAGTAATTCAGGGAAGTTTAGAGACCTGATAAGAAATCTGATGGGCTCCTCTTATAAGTAAAACTCTGTGATTTTCTGCTAGTGCCTTTTACTACATTTGAAGGTCTGCTTGTTTCTTCTTCTGATTCTGGGTGTCTCTACTTCTGACACGGCTGAACAACTTTCTACTTTCATCTCTGGCATGGGTCTCTCCTTTCTTCTTCCAGGTGTTTATTTCTGCTCATTTTGCTACCTGCTTACCTTGTCTCTGGGTGTAGCAGCAAAATTGCCAAGTCAGGGGATTCCACACACCACTGGCCTGGGTGCCTCTAGCCAGTACTTTCCCTTCCATGCTATCTGTGGCTGCCGGCTAGCTGTCTGTGAATGGTCTGTCATTGGTCAGTCAGTATCTCTGGTCCAGTGAAGAACTTCCTGCCACCCTGCTTCACTGGAAATACCTACAGGCATGGCAAACCCTCAGAATACCAAAGCTAAGAAAGTTATTTTATAGTTATTTAAAGTAGAATAAAAGTAAAGGTAGCTTTGGACAAGATAATTTATGATTAGGCTCATTATTTTTATTTAAAACTGAATTCTCCAGTATTTCCTTCCAATATCCTTGTACTTTCTTTGTATTTGTACTGCTATCTTCTGAGTTCCATTTTTCACTGTATTTTCTTTTCTTTTCCCATTCCATCTATCTTTTCCAATAATTTTATTATATTTTTGTCTTTATGGGCTTCCTAGCACATTTCAGCTTTTGTACATTTCATTTATATGCTATAGGTAAACCACTTCTGTCATAAACAAAACAGGTGAAATAAATATTTATCAGTGAGAGTTTCTCTGAAAATATTTTATCCAGTCAGTCACATTAGTCCTTCCATTACCATATGAAATTTTACATTCGTCTTCTGCTTTTAAAATTCCCTAATCCTCCTTTTCCATGCCAGTTGAGCAAGAAGCTTTACACAGAAACAGGAGCTGTATAAAGAGAAGACACCTTCCTGATTTCTATTTACTTTTATAATAATCTTTTAATATAAATGTGAATTTTAAATAAAAATTGGGTTTTGATGGACAGCATAAAATCTTTTTCAAAAAAATTTCAGAAGATACTAGGTTTACTTCTAGTGATCAGTTTTCATTTATATATTATTCTTACAAATTGCATAGTTTTCCACTAATGATTCATGTCTTATATATGGTATATCACTGTGAAGGTTTGATCATCCGTTTGCAGGTCATTGCTCTTTCCGTGATATTAATGCCTGTCTGCAAATGTTCAAAATTTGTTCTATCTTTGGAAACCATTTATGGCTATATTAATTGGTATAAACCTTTACATTTTCATTAATAAGTATTATGATTAGAAATGGCACAAAACATTGACTTCATTTATTATAATATTTCTGTATCTATAATTATGACTATTTCATATTATAGGAACAAGAACTCTATCAAAAAGAAGGTTTAGGTGTTAATGAAGTGCATTATGTAGATAATCAGGACTGTATAGGTATGTATTTTTTTATTATACCTTTGGGGAATATGGGAAGATGCAGTAAATGTGTTTATTATTCATTTTTCTGTGCTCTGTGATTGATGTTACTAGGAAACTGTGAAAACTGTTATATTTAAGATAACTTGAAAGTTATTTTTCCTGCCAAGGCATGAAATTCAGCTTTGTTAAAAATTAAAAAAATTTTTCTTCTGTTTATTATGATGTGTATTTTTTCTACCTAAAAAGCTAGCATGTAAACCAGTTAAGGGGCCATTTAGTTGCTCGGCAGCTGATGGACCCATCATCTCACGTGATGAAGCCTACACTTAGGCCTGGCTGCAGGGGAGGTTTGCCTGGGATTTCTGGGGTTGGTTATCCTGTGAATGCTAGCAGCATCCTCTTCCTGGTTGCAGGTTGGTGTCAGCAGGTCCCATATCATTTCCAGTGTGATAGGGCATCAGGAGGGTAGGGCCTCTGTTTTTTTTCAATGATAAAGAAACCCCTCTCTTTCTAGCAGCTTTCAGCCTTTTCCTTTTCTACCTCACCTCTAAAATCAGCTGTTGCACAAGCCTGGTTTTGGAAACTCCATTTAATAATCAAGTCAAGAACTTGTGTGCTAGACTGGGACATGCAGCATAATAACAACATCACATCAGTACAACTTTTAATCCATTTCCTGTTGAGGAAAGTGCAGCTTGCTGCTATTCCTCATTTAATTTTACAAAAACATGCTTTTTGAAGCTGAAGCAAATCTGACTGATTTTTAGTGTGAAAAAGAATATAAAAACAATTGCTGGCGTTATTTCTAAATAGAAATGACTTCTTTCTTAACAAAATAAATGCTGTGGTGCAAGCACCGCTGGTGGGTATTTTCTGGGCAAACAGGAAATGGACTGAAGCACTGTCACATCCCACTTTGTTCTCTCTCATTTTCTCAGCATGCCATGTCCTTCTCACCTCTGTGCCTTTCACTCTGGGCTTGCCATTTGGTTTGGGCTCCTTCCCTTTGGTTTACCCTGCAGGCTCCTGCCCCCACAGAGCGACCTCACTCACAGCTGGGTCCCCATCCCCCTCCCCCAAAACCATTCATTGCTCAAGAAGCCTCCTTTTCTGATCAGTGCAGTTAGAATCTTGACTTATCTTGCTGTGTCTTAGAGCTCTGCCTCACTCAACAGTTTTACATACTGTTTTTAAGAGGTTTTAAAGTTATTTTGGACAGGTGGGAAATCTAAACAACACAAATCAAAGGAGCATAAAAATGTGCTCCTATGGGCGCAATGGTGAACATCCGCATCCCAGTCCCTGCGGGGCCCGGATCACTTAGGCCCAGGACCTCAGGACCAAAATGGCAGCAGGAAGACACTTGTCTGAAAAAAAAAACGGTGCATGTTGAAAAGTTTTGCTTAAAAGCACTAGAGTCACTTTTTTAAAGTGTTTTACTAAAAAGTTGTGCATGGAGAAGCTCCTCTAGTTTTCTTTCTTTTTTTTTACACTTTATTAAATTCTTTTATTGGTACATTGTAGGTATACAACACAATTACATTTCTCATTGGGAATTGTACCTTTACATAATGC